TTACATCCTCTTCGAGCAAACTGTTTGAATTTAATTAATGTTTACGTCCTTGAAATGTACTCGGATTCCCACAAAAGTGTACTTTCCTAATAGGAAATCGGTTTTTTCTAAGAGTTATCAAATTTCCTTTGTAAGTGGCATAGAATGCTAGAATTTACATAAACAACATCCTCGTTTTAAAAAACTATTTTAGCATAAAATTCTATAATTTCGACAGAAGAAAAAATTTCCTACGGAAACACTAGCTTGATACACAGTTGTTAGTGTGGAAACTTCCTCAAAATGGGGGGAAGTAAGAAATTATAAATGTTTTATAGAATAATATTACAAAAAATGGCTTCTAAACTTTCGTTAATATCATAATTACGGCGCGTAATATAAATATTACAATAATAAATACTTTGTTATTCATCATCGATCATTCGAAAGTAAAAAGTAACTTTTGCTTTGCACATGTCGCAACTTTTATTATTACTAAACAGGAAATTACATTCGAAATTTTTTTTAATATATAAACTCGAATATATCCTATTTTGGAAGTAAGTTATTTTAAGCAGTAAATATCGAAGATTTTTTTGATAAAATATGAATAATCGCTTACAAGTAAACTTTCCATTTCTACAGAAAACAAGTAGGAAGTACTGTACCGTACCTATCTTATAAATCATTTCAAATAATGAGTCACACTGTCGATTGTAGAAGAGATTCATTTCACAAATATGTAAATATTTATCCTATTTACATCTTAGAATTAATTAAACCTGAGAACATGAAGGAAATCCGTAAAAGGTGCGAAGTACAGTCGACCCCCCTTATAACACTGTTGATTTTTCCGTTTTATATGAATTCGTATATGTAAAATTTAAGCGAGTCGCTTAAATTTTACAAATACGTGAGCTGTACACAGCCCGGCGCACGTATTTGTAAAATCTAAGTGACTCGTACAACATGGAATTCATATAAAACGAAAAAATCAACAGTGTTATAGGGGGGTCTACTTGTATACATTTCCTTTTATACACTGTGTATTAGTGTTATCGATTCTCTTCATCTCTTACCTTTCAAATAACACTATCATTGACCTCTCCTTTATCGTTCTCTCATCAATATTTATCACTTTTAGTGTCAAATAGGGCTTTGTGTAGTTCACCTTTTCTGTTTAACTGTAAACATTCCTCACTTTGTCTACAGAGCAAGGATTGTTACGTTAAAAGATCCAATTTACCATTTAATAAGACAGTCGACGAGCCAATTAAAAGTTGAATATGTAATACTGTTCGAAAGCTAGACGTGTATTTACAATATACATCCTTTTTCATCCTAAAGGAAGTTAGAAATTCCACAATTGCGTAACTACTTAGTCACCATACGATTAAGATACGAGGGAAAACCGTTCCGCTCTTTATTTATTCATCTAGTAACATCAGTGTTACGTTCTTCTGCAGTAAGTTAACGAACATGTAACTAGCTTAACTCTGATCGTAACGTTTTGCAATAGATTAAGGTTTACTTCTATTCATTGTTATAGTTTTCATGATGAATACAACAATAGGTAACGATTTGAGCGAAGCAGAAAATTTCACCAATATGACATCAACGGACACAAAGAAATCTTCTGTAGCAAACTTTCATTCAATAATCATAGTATGCTTGGCACTTTCTATGATCTGTCTGCTGATCATAGGTGTAGTTTACAGCATCATTACCGATTTTAGGAACATTCACGGGAAGATACTTCTGTCTCTATCTGGAAATTTGGGAGTGACGTACACATTCCTCATCCTAGATCTAATGTTCAGAAGGAAATTCTCACCCATCGCGTGCTTATCCATAGGGTTTGTCATCCACATCACCTTCCTGGCTACGTTCTTTTGGACTAACATCATGGCTTACGACGCATGGAGGACGATCACTAGAATGAAACCAAAAAAGATTCGTACGAATAAGAAGCGATATCTCTGTTACGCCGCGTATGCTTGGGGTGCCACGCTTCTGATATCACTCCCTGCCGTTATTTTCGACAATACGGATTTTATACCCGTCAAATATCGTCCAAATATGGGTGTTAAACGCTGTTGGTTAAGTGGTACCCCCGCTTTCCTCATCTACTTTAATAGTCCGGTTGGTTTGGTGCTGTTCACCAACTTGATATTCTTCCTGATGACCATCAAAACTTTGATACAATTAAGAAACACGACCATGATTCTGCACGTTAATAAAGACAAACAGAGGTAAATGTTTTTTTATTGCTTCTTTCCTATGCTTCGTTCTGTAGTTTAAACATTCTATAACTTCAGTTTCAATTTATTTTGTATAAATATTCTTTAAGAAATAATAACACATGTTTTCCTTACACTTTAGGTTCTATCTGTATATCAAACTGTTCCTGATCATGGGTCTAATATGGATCACAGAGTACATTCCTTGGCTTTCTGGTATATACAAATTATATGCCATAGCTGGAATATTAAACTCTCTTCACGGTGTATACCTCTTCGTCATATTCATCTGCAAGAGAAGTGTTTTCCGAAGTCTACGCGATTTGTACAAAGGTACAAAAGTGGACAACTCTAAATCTCGAAAAATCTCTCAACCCACTCTCGGTACATCCGTAAAGGGCAGCAGCAACAGCGTTTTCTATTGTAGCAGCAGCTCCGAAAATACAGAAAAAGTGCGTATTACATCATAATGAAGTTCACAATTTACTATTGCAACTTGGATTCAGGAACCACTGATCCTAATGATGGAAATTGAACATTCGTGACAAGGTCCTTTGCATTGAAGCCGTACTCTTTCTTGCAAGACTCGCAATCGAAGATTAATAATGACATTTAGTTGTTCTACTCGAAAGTACAGGTCATCCATGGCTCAATAGCTCAGTGTTTTACAGTCGACCCCCCTATAACACTATTGATTATTCCGTTTTATATGAATTCCAGTTTGTACGAGTCACTTAGATTTTACAAATACGTGTGCCGGGCTGTCAACGGCTCATGTATTTTTAAAATCTAAGTGACTCGTACAACATGGAATTCATATAAAACGGAATAATCAACCGTGTTATAGGGGGGTCGACTGTAATTCTACGCGTTTAGTTAGACCTGAATAATTCATATATTAAATTTACAAAGAGAAATGTTAATAAAGTATTAGGAATTCAAAATACTTCTCTATCTACTTCATCCAGTTTTGTTAGTGTTTGCGGTGTGTTCGTTTCCTTTGTTTGTATCTAAAGTCCAGAAGTTATTTAATAACTCCGAATGGAATACCTACAAGATGCAAATTAAAACTGAACGGTGATGATCAAGAAAGGGGGTAAAAACACAAAAATATAGTATTTTTATGTAATTTTTCGTAATAATTTAGTGTGTGTCAGTCAGTTGTCGTGTTTAAATTTAAATGTTACTTATTTAAAAAAGTGAAAATGAAATGAAAACATTGTTATTTTATTTTTTTGTAATAGTAAATTTATTAACATGTGACGTAATTTAAAACCTTCCAACAGATGTTTGTGAATATATAAATGAGGTTATCTGGATTATCCTTAATTCTTCACGTGACATTCAACACAAAGGATGTTTTGTATACTTGTGTAAAGACCAGATAATGTTTAATTAAATGCAGAAATTTGGAAGATGGTTTGGTATTGTTTAAGTAATAGAAAGAGGTCTTCTGTACTTTTGTGATTATTGGAGTATATTGTTTAAACATGTATATATATAATATAATGTAAAAACATATTGTAAACAGATATATTGTGTAGCTGAACTGATATTTAATTAAATTGAAATAATGAAAAATGTAAAGTACTGTTTTAGTGCTTTTTTCCCAACAAGGATATGAGATGTTTTAAGCAGTTAATAGTAATAAAATGATGACATTTAACTAAATTTTCTCCACTTTATGGTGCAAAATTNACTGTTTTAGTGCTTTTTTCCCAACAAGGATATGAGATGTTTTAAGCAGTTAATAGTAATAAAATGATGACATTTAACTAAATTTTCTCCACTTTATGGTGCAAAATTTAGGCAACAAAAACCTCAGTGTTTTGCTTTATCAGTATGATTACAGAAGCACAATTATGAAATAACACAAAAAAAAAACCAATATTTATATTAAAAACATCCCTTAAATAATAGTTTTGTACTCGTGATTAACCCTTCTTTTCCAATCTCGTTTACTTCCTCTTAAAAAAATATCTTTTTGTTATAATATAATTAAGTGTTTTCACACGGAACTGTACTTATGAAAGTAACTGAAGTCGTTTACGAGTAGATAAATCAATTAGCTGCATGAAATTTCACATTGAAGAATACTAATGAGGCTCCAGAAAGAAAAAAAAGTTAAAGGTGTTAATTTACTTGTTCTCACTTACATAAACATTTGAAACTGTTATAAAAATAGAGAAATTCCGTTAGATTTTCCCGTAGGTAATTACCGTAATAGATAAAAATAAAACAGAGAGGAAGGTCAAGTTCAGTTTTTGCAATTCTTAGAAATCGCCGACAGGAAACTGCAACTTTTCCTTATTTATTTCCAAGTATTACTCTTAAACACGTGACAGAACAGACTGGCGTAACGTCATCGAACTTGTGTTTGTTTTATTAAAGGCTAGAAAATGCCAGATCACACATATAATCTAATGATGACAAAATGTGGCCTAAATATCTTGGGTTTATGAAACTAAAAGGTGAAAAAACACAATATCTGCTAATTATTAACTCCTATTAGCACGTGTATGTGCAGTAAATACTACTGAACATACACGTACTAATAGTCTAGTACGTGAAAGCATATACTCTAGCTTCATTGTGTGGCACTTATAACGTAGTAACACTCCAGAAGAAGGATCAACTTATAGTAAAATGTCTTCAAAAAAGACAAAGTACAATGTTGACAAATTACACTATTCTGTACAGCAGGAACTTAAAATGCCACTTCAGATATGTGATGACATTGAATAGTTCTGTGGATATATTTCACACAATTGACTTAGTAACAGTTAATTCAACAGATTTTACAATTAAAGTGACTTAATTTATGCAGTAAGTCATTCTAATGCCAAATAACTTTTTAGGGTATAGTTTGAAATAAGATATCCTGTTTCAAATTACAATATACAATCAAGTAAAATACACATTAAATCCTCCTCTCATGTCTTTATTCAATTATTAACAGCTTTCTCCCATTACTCAAAATAAAAAACTGTTTATACTTTCAATTGTTACATTAGATAAGAATCAGTTCAAACCATTGTTTTTATCACACTTAACAAGGCAACCTTGAAATGTTTATGTTTAGAAACACAACTTACAACTTCCGCTTAACTTTTTTAGGTCACACTTTCATCAATATATTTATGTGTCATAAGTAGGAAGCTTATATCAGTGTTGAAATGGTTAAGAATGTACAGAAAATCCTCAGAATTTATAAAAATATAATATATTATTATATACTTTCACCAGATATACAGGAAAATTGAACAGTAAATACATAAATTAGTTATTAAAATTTACATCAAAACCATCCAATTGTAAAAACTAGTTACAATAAATACTACTTATAAAAGATTCCTTTGGAATCGCATCACACTAGTAAACAAATTGTTAAAATCACATCAAAATTGTTTCATTAAGGAAATTCCGTGGTCGAATTACAAATTTTAAATGTCATAAAATGTCCGCAGAAGTTACAAGCCTCGAGTAAAAAGGTTACATCACGTTAACAAGCAAATTTACAAGCGAGAATTGTGATATTATTATTCTCTAGTTTGTTTATTACTATTAAAAATGTAACTTGCTACAAACTACTCTAACATCCATTTTATAAGCTATCACTGCTTAAAATCATACAAAAATAATTAATATAACTATTAGGTAAGTAGAAAATTGTGCAAAATTCAGATGAAAAACATTTAAGTAGAAACAATATGACACTATTCATAAAAAGTTTGACATATATAACAATAAAGACATGCTTCAAACGCTTCCTTTCGATGCCTTATGAATAAATACAAAAGTTAATTACTATTAAATAAAAAAACATTGTAAATTCCATTTCCAACAAAGTATTAAAACAAATTTGAATAATATGTAATGAAAGAAAGCTCCAATTTTTTTAAGTTCTGAAAGAGTAAAAAGCTTTCAATAAAAGAAAACACTAAATGCTTAACAAAAAAACTGCCGCCCAAATCGCATGAGAATGAAAATACGAACAAACTACACAGTTTAATATTTACAGACTTAAATTTCATAAATTCTGTATAAAATATTTATATTATAAACTTAGACGTGGTTTTGTAACTATGTCACTTGTGGCAAACTACATATTTAACAACCAGTGTACTAGTTGTGACAGGTTTATCTACCTCTAACTTAACAGCAAGCCATAAACTTTATCCACAACCGGGCAGAGAACGAGTCGGTGGATCCTTTCTGGATATAATTATTCAAAAATGATGGAACGACCACGTCGTGTAGTCGCCCAGAACAAATATATAAATAAATCAAGCACGTGTTTAAATATATTGGATCATTAACAATAAACAAAGAATACTTTTAAAACAAGTATAACAGTACTTTAAAATGAGTGTAATTACTTTTTTGTGATAATTAAAAATTAAACAGAAAAATCAACAATCCTTCAGAAGTACAACAGAGTATTGAAGAATAAGCAAAGTTTAAAACTAATTTTTTGAACAAAATATCACATAAATGCTAATTTTTTAGAGATTCCACACTTAAATGACAATATAAGATTCTTAGTTGATGAAAAATTAATTATAGTAGAACCTAGTTTTAACACTACTCCCCTTTACAAGCTTCCACTGTTATCTCAGATGTAAATTTTCTGTCAGTGACTACACAAAAAGATGTAGTTTTGGCCTTCTCTCTTTCAGATATATTGTTGTCTTGTCTTCTAAATATAAAAGCGCTTTCATCAATAGTGGATAGATCCTAGCATCATCATATCTACTGTACTACTAATTTAATACTTCATGAAATCTATGTAAGAGAAAATGAAAACGATATCCAGACCTATCTGTGTGCGAAATCATTTTTCTAATTTATTCCCTGAGGATTATTTTATCAAAATCTCGAATTTCCATTTTTATATATTAATTAAATCTGTAAACCTCATTAAGTAGCTGCATGAAAAGTGATGCAAAAATGAGATCAAACTTTAAAATAAGAAAAGCAGTTTGCCGACATTTCTAGCAGATAAAGTATGATCTCATATTGAAATGACTGTCAAGATATTAATTCTAAGGGTGCGACTATGCAGACGCGAGCGAGCGAGAACATGTGGTGAGATGCGATAAATATCAAAACCTGTCAGATATGTGCGAGAACCAGAAATTCACTCTCGCTAGCGTTATTTCTTGCTTCTCGTTTGTGCATGGTTTTCCTTTGCGAAAACTAAATCGCTCGCAACTTCTCTCTCGCTCGCTCTAAATTCGCATCTGCATAGTCGCACCTTAACTCTACCTTCAAACAGAGCTAATAACTGCATCTTCAAAATAGCATTTGTAACCTCATCATAATCATCATTAGTAACCAAATAGTTTGACCCTTATCCATTAATAAGTTTAGAGAAGTGTAGTAACTTTAAATATGTAAAAATTAGCATAATGCTCTACATTTTCCTACAATAAACTTTGCTTCTGTAAAACATATCAAATCATAAAGAATTCTCTGTAAAAATAAGTTAAATAATCTGATTAATGTTTCATATTTTGTTTTATAATATTGACCTTATTATAATCATGTCTATGCTTATAAAATAACAGCCGTTACTCTGATAAACTTCCTTACTTTCATTATATTTTAAACATTTTGTTAAAAATTAAGTTTAAAATTCATATTAAGATTTTAGTGTATTTTCTCTATTAGAAGACACTAATGTGTAAAATAAACTTAAATTTTCCATTATAGTGAAAGCAGAACTTAATTTACATGCATGAAAAGATCCACAAGAAAATCTGTAAGATGTGCTGAAAAATACTTAAAAAACTAAAATTTCTTCATCCAAACAAATTTTTTATCATCGTCATGAATAAATGATTAATTACCCTCCATTTTAAATTTTGAAGTGGAATAATCCTAAATATTTGGCCTCTAATTTATAATTTTTACGGACGATGTATTATAAAATCCCAAGTATCTTTCCACCTTAAATTTATTATGTCTTCTGCCGATAATGGAACGGTGCCGTAACAAAACACACTAAACTGCCAAAAGACATGAAAAATACCAAATCCCCAGAGTAGCATCCCAAAGTAAAATATTAATTTCAATAAGGAGGATTTAAAAATGAAGCACACTACGTAATCAACATGTTCTATCAATGCAGCAAGCAAAACCAGTTTATATAATAAAGAAGGCAAATAATGATGCAGAAACAGAGTTCGTTCCGTAAAAAAGTAAGGAAGAAAGTGTAGTGCATAACCGCCGAGGCATATCTGTCCCACCAAACAAAATTTATTCCAAATTTCTTCTGGAATGTCGTAACACAATCTTTGCCTCCTGAGAAGATAAAATGTCAGGAGTGAAAGGTAGATGAACAACCCTATAGTTGCCGAATACCATATTAATACATTTCCTATTAAATGAATCTGTGCATTACTATGAGGGCTAACCCAATAAGCGATGCCGCGAGTTAGAAACAGCCAATCAATGGGTTCCGAACTGTATAAATGATCTTGCACGTTTTCTTGATTGACTACAAACATTTTATATTGCAATTCGTAAAATTTTTCTAAAAATGTGAGCTGTGTGGGCTGTAACGGAACAAATTCTGCCATGCCCATGTCACGTTCCCTTTCTTTCTGATCGGCTTTCTTTGTATATCTATGTTCTTCTACATTCCATATTGTATCGTCTTGGTTAATATCACGATCCGTCACAACTTCGTGCTGATTAAAACCCCATTCCGGCAGCTGTTTACCACTAAATTTCAATGCCTGAGTAGAATTAACATGAATCAAACGAACATGAGAATGAATCGTATGCCAAACTTCACCTTCTGTTTCCCTATTTATAATGTCTACCATCCACAAATTTTGTATAGGGAATGAGATATTATAATCAATATAACAAGACACTTCCTGATGTTGGGGAGACATCGGTGCCGCAACATCATGACTGTTTAAAGCTCTACTTGTCATTCCGTGTATTAACTGAATTACGTCACCGTGCTTAATTTTATCAACAGGTTCCGACACTACGAGATCATTTTTCTTGGGTCTTTTCACGATCCACCAATTATTAACATCTTTAAAACTATAGCAAGTCACCTGCTGTTGATGAGAACTTCCACGTTTGTCGGGATATCGCAGAGGATAAACATGCGGATGAGAATGTAACCAACAGGCACGACCGTGAGTGTGACGTAACGTGATCTGGGAACCGTGGACGATCTCCAACGGCTGTCCTTTCGTAATAGATGCGAGACCACCCTCCAAACTTGCCTGAAATGCACTAGTCATTATATTATCGTGTGGACCCGCTTTAATTAAAATGCTTAAATGGCAATAAAATGTCAGTAAATATAAAATTAATGGCACTAATATGGAGACTGCACTTTGTGCTACCAGTTGTTTGATAAGGTCCCAATTAGAGAGTTTTTTATTTCCTAAGAAATTCCAAAAATCCCACATTAAAACCGCCATCGCTAGTGCTCCGGAGAAGATTCCAACATATTTAACACAAGTGGCACAAGTTAAAGAAACGACCATTAACAGCAGCCAAGTCCACCAACCGACGGTAAACGGTTTCGTCTCTTTACGAAACTTAAGTAGACAAAATATTCCCAAAGCAGAAAAGAACATGAGTATGCTTTCCATGAGTATAAACCTGGACTGAGTAAGTATCGCATTTTCAAATATAAAAATTAGGGCCGCCAGTACGGCCGTCTTGTTACTGAGACCCAGTTCGACGCACAGGTAATAGACCATCGGAACGAGAAGAGTGCCGAAGGCGGCGGGTACCGTTCGGAGGGCCCAGACGGGCACGTCCGGCCCGTAACTTCCACCTATACGGTCGAACTGATTGTTTCCCTCATAGCCGGCGACGAAGCCGGCCAAGGCCACTAGTTGCTTGCCCATCGGCGGATGAGAATCAAAGAAAAATGTCCTCTTCATGTACATGGAAGCAAACTTTCCATAATGTAACTCATCGAAAACTATACTTCTGGGCTGATCCAACCTCCAGAATCTGGTTCCAAGAGCGAGGACAAATGTAATTAACAGAAAGGCATCTATCTCTAATTTAATCACAAATGGCTTAATGCTTTGATTAAACCACGTTTCTGATTCGTTCGACGATAGAGAATCGTCAGATTCCGACGAACTTTCTTCATTCTTGATCTCGTCCAACATTTGACGTGTCAACTCTTGACCTTTACCTTTGCCATTCATATTGGCGCTTCGTATTCCCGAAATTCAATACTTAACTCGAACTTGATAACTCAGACATCGAAATAGAACTTTAAAGAGTCATGACTGGTCACGTGTCGACACGAAACTTACAAAATTCTAGCTTACCACGTATAACAACTCGACAAACATCTTCACCAAACTATGCTGTAATCTAGGTCAAGTAATTAATGTAACACTCGTCCCGATTGGTCGATCTCGGAGAAGATTAAATCGTCTATCCAATAATATGTTCGGTAATGAAAATGTCGTCGCCCAAGCGGAGGTGTGACGAACTCTAAAAATACATTTCATATAATAAGAAATTACTATTTAAAATAACAAAAGTGTCAAATAATTTCAAATTAATAAACCAGATGTAATAACAATCATTAATTTTTTTATACAAGCATTTAATTACGATATTATATTATCACCAGTTTTAAGATATTACTTTTACTTTCGGAGTAATCGATGGAAATTATTTTATATTTAATAATAACAAAAAACGAATTTTATACAATTTCCTTGTCGAAACAGATTACTTAGCATTTAGGAAGTCATTTTTATAGGACAATATATTGTAGGAAAAAAAAACGATAAATAAATAAATAATAATCAAATTTCGCCGATCACAGCGCTATTAATAAATAGTGGTCGCTAATATAAACCTATTTGTGATCTCGTGTGTGTACAGTCGACCCCCTATAACACTATTGATTATTCCGTTTTATATGAATTCCATGTTGTACGAGTCACTTAGATTTTACAAATACGTGTGCCGGGCTGTGAACGGCTCACGTATTTGTAAAATCTAAGTGACTCGTACATCATGGAAGTATATATAAATATGGTATGGAGGAAATTATTATAGAAATCTTAATAATTACAGTTTAGAAACAAATAAAGAACATAAATAATAATTATCTACTGTATAAAACGAGGGCACTGGCGGGACCTTTGCTGTTCTGTTATACCCAAAATCAGAAGAAGAGGGCGGCAACCCAAATACGAATATGCAGCTTATTGAAAATGAAATCAAGCAGAGAATTAAACCTCATGAGCTTAAAGTTAAGGTCAAAGCAGTGCGAAAGGTTAAGGGAGACGGCATCTGTATTAGAACTAATACTCATAAAGAGGCTGAAATTCTAGCCGAAGCCATAGAAACCCTACCAGAAATTAGAACCCAGGTTAAGAGCAAAATATCGGAAGGAAGGAGACCTAGAGTCATCCTATATAATGTCCCTATATCTGTGGATGAAACCGATATTCTTCACATAATGCATGATCAGAATGAAACTCTGCATACCATCACTCTGGATGAATTTCTGGAAAACACGAGAGTCAGCACCATCTTATACAGGAACAATGTGAAAGAAAACTGCAGGCACATTGTCTTGTCAAC